GATTCTCTGTTTGTGCAAATAACAGCAATTTTCTAGTGCGGAGGGCAAACGCACAATCATGTCATGCGTCAGATCAAGTGTGTGTGTGTGTGTGTGTGTGTGCACAAAGGCCTCTTTCATGGCGCTCAGGGTCCGGCGTCACCTGTGTGTTTGCTGCTGTGTCCCGGCGAGACGATCCCGCTGAGGTTCACGACTCCTCCCGGGCCGATGATGAACTGCGGAGTGGACGTGTGGATGGTCAGAGTCTCGGGACTCTCGGGGTTTGTGTTGATCTGGTTCTGCATCGCCACCTGACACACAGTCACACATCAGCAGTGCTGGGGACAGTTACTTTTAAAAGTAATGCATTACAATATTGCGTTACTCCCCAAAAAAGTAACTTTTTGCGTTACTTAGTTACTTTTTATTGCGTTACGTTTTCTCACCTGGGCTGGGCTTGCGTGTTTGATTTTTTATAACAACAACAAAAAGTTATATTTTGGCAAGTGTTACGGCCCTTTCACACCAGAAGTGAAAACAATAAGCCGATCAGATTTCGCTCTCCTTCTGTGGTGGAGCACAGACGACACTGAACACTATTGACCAGAACATGTCAGCGCTGTCTTATAAACACCTCAGGAACTGTGGACACTTGTGGAAGAGTTCAACATGATGAGGAGATGATCAGTGTAACTCCACAACAACTACAGAAATGTCTCCGCTAACATTCAGAAACGTGTAAAAGTGAAGCTCTCCCTGAGTCTCTCCGTAAGGCTGCACTCGCTGCTGTTACTCCTGACTCTGGATCAGTGAGATCGGCCTGTGGTGTTATTGCCGGAGTCTCTGAAGCTCGTGTGAAGGCTCCGCCCTCTTCTGAACAGAGGCGGAGCTAAAGCTCATTTGCATTTAAAGGGACACACACAAACGGAGTGTTTTTGCTCACACACAAAAAGGGGCAAATTTGACGAGCTGTAATAAATGATCTGGTATTTTGAGCTGAGATTTCACACACACATTCTGGGGACGCCAGAGATTTATATTACTTCTGGTGAAAAGGGGTGTAATATGTCACCTTTACTTAAGTTGTCTTTTATGTAAGGGATTCTCATGTGTGTTTGTATCAGTGGCGCTGCTCTGAACACGCGTGTCCAGGAGAGGGACAGTGGAGCAGGACCGAGCGCTCAGGTGTTGTACCTGCAGGACTTCGGCCAGCTCGAGGCTGCTGTTGTCCAGCGCGATGTCCAGCGGGTTCTTGCAGAACTTGCTCTGCGCGTGAACATCGGCACCGAAGCGCAGCAGCAGCTCCACGGCGTGTGTGTGTCGGTGCTCCACGGCCCAGTGCAGCGCGCTCATCTTCAGCATGTCCCTCGCGTTCACATCCGCACCGTGCTGCAGAACACACACGCACACACACACATGAGTACAGGCATTGTTGCTCCGCCGGATGATGAAAGGAGACACTTAAAATGAAAAATTACCTGCGAACATCAAAGACCTGCGTGTCAACTAGACTCCTTCCCTTTACCTCTGTACGGATAAAACCTTATCAGAATGATTCCAGTTCGCATGGATACGCGGAAACGACAAAGAAATTCGGTATAATGCAGGCCAGACAAGTAATTTGGTGAGGTCAATTTGTAAAGAAGGAATACGTGCCTGCGCACATATATATTCAAACCATAGACTGTAAATAAATATGGGCGTATTGTGACGTTGAAGTTTCTGAAGCCCAAAGTGGGCGGAGCCGGCCGTCGCCATCTTGGCAGCGTCACTCCCGGATAAACAAACATGTACAGCGAGGCGGATTAGCTGAGGTGACGTGACGCTAACAAACGGCTAGCAGTGACATCAGCGGCAATCCACCTGTCAATCAAGTGGCCACGCCCTTAATTATGCAGAACTTTAAGGTTTAAAATAATTTAAACTGATAAGTTATAAAAATATTCACCCCCTCACAGTCGTAATGAAGGGCAACAATAGCGATATAGACCAAAAACACTTTTAGCACCAGGCCGTAAACATGTTTATTCTGCTGTAAAGTTGGGCATTTTAACATGCGGGTCTATGGGACTGAGTCTCTTCTGCAGCCGGCCTCTAGTGGCCAGTGGAGGAACTGCAGGTTAGGGCACTTCAGTGTCGGATTGAAGAGAGAGAGGAAGGGTTCTGCTTGATTCAAACACGGATATCTATAGACTAAACACGTGATACGCATGTGCGCGCCTTCACCGTTTACACAGATTCATGTGTTTGAGGTTTACACGGAGATGAACACGCTTTTCACAATTTTTCAAAACTTGCCTCTTGGATCCTGTTTCAGAGTGTGTGTTCTCGAGCTCAGAGTGTGTGTTCTCGAGCTCAGAGTGTGTGTTCTCGAGCTCAGAGTGTGTGTTCTCGAGCTCAGAGTGTGTGTTCTCGAGCTCAGAGTGTGTGTTCTCGAGCTCAGAGTGTGTGTTCTCGAGCTCAGAGTGTGTGTTCTCGAGCTCAAACACTGTTGTGCGAATGAACGGCCAGAACACATTAA